GCTAGCGCAGATAGCCCTCGTGTAGCTTTGCGCGAAATTCAAAAACAAAAAAACAAACAACAAACCGATCTAAAACAAACTAAAACATTGTGATGTACAAAACAGCTACGTTAATAAAGTTTGTTATTAAGCTCAAAGCTACTGAATGGGCTATGACTGCTTTGCCCACCGAGTTAATGAAAGCCAGTTTGTAGCGTTGTAAGCCCTCAGAGGTATCGCTGAGTCACTGAGACAATTAATAAAGTCATCCAAAAAACTTCAGAGAACCATTCTTATACAACATAAAAAAGTTTGTTGGATACTACATAGCTGTCTTATTTCTGTGAATACAATTTTCAACATTCGTTAGAATTAAACTAAAACAAACTATTGAAAAATCAGCATACAAGTGTCTCAACCAAACAGGAAGGATAACTGATATCGTTAGTCACGCATGTCGATCCAAAAGCTAACTTAAAATAATATTTGCGATACGACAGACGTGGTCACTTTTGATATTTATGTTATTGAAAGTTACCGTTTATTCATTAACAATGTGCTATATTTTCCGTCCAGTTAGCGGCTAGTTTGATATTTTAATCTAGTTTCAAGTTGACACTTTCCTCTGTTGGGATTTCTGTTTGTTCAAGTAAAATCATTTAAAGATTAATGTTAAGTTTATTTACGTAGCCGACTGTAACAGTTAAAAACAACAAACTATAGGCAACTACTAATATTATATCGTAAAAAAAGGACTAAAGATTATCTTATGATTTCATAAACCCTAATTAAAATTTTAAAAAATACACATTTTTGGTAAACCACGGTGATTGTGTATTTTTGTATTTTTTGGGTGCTTTCAGTCAACAGATATCTGAGTCACTAAATGAAGCTTTTCAGTCTACAAATAAATTCAAATGATTAGAAATTTCATGTCATGGCAACCTGTGGCACCCACTGCTACTGCTCACAAATCACTGCTCTTTAGTCGATACAGTATTTTCAGCACCGACCACCTGTGGCGCTAGTATCTCATTTCAGAATCAAGAGAAATTTTCGGCTTAACTACGACAGAGGTAATGGGAGTCTTATTCAAGAAGGAGAATGTAGCTGATCCTCAGGCACTCCAAGAAGGTATGAGATTCTATCAGTAATACTCTACTAAACGATGTGAGGTTCTCTTCTATTTGTTTTTGTTTAATATTACTTATATTCTTAACCTACTTATAGTTACCCTCAAAATATAAAAAAAAGCTAAACATTAATATGTTTTGTGGTATTTAAAATACTCGCTATTGGATAATAGAAAGCTTTTATTAGAAACAATAATTTGTTTTTTGTATACTTGGTGTTTTCTTGTTTGTTTTTTTACAATAAAAAACTCAAACTTGATTATCAAGATACTGGCGTCTCCAAATTCTTTAATTGAGGTTAATAAAGTAAATAAAAAGATAAAACGACTTAGACATATATTTTTGTTGCTTTGTGACATGTAGAATTAGAATACTTGAGAATGGGCCACATCACTTTCACTTAATATGTATATACTTCGGTAAGTAGTCTTTCTAACCGTGTTTTGTGGTTTCTGCTTTGACTGCATATTGTGCCTGATATGCTAGCTTTTATATACACTGCACTGTACACAGAGTTAAACTGCAACGTATTTTATAGGTTGACTGTTTAATTTCTTAACGAACTGTTCAGCTAGACATATACCGTTTCGCTATATACGCTTTCCTTTATATACTAACTGTTTAGATACGTGTACTGTAACTTTGATAGTATTTAATTATTAATCTCGTTTGATATCATTTTCATTCATATCGAACATTAGCATATACAATATCTATATTATTATACGTACTATTTGATCCTAAGCTTGCGCCATATGTTACTGCAACTGAGACGCAATTGATCCACTCAGAAAAACTACAGATGAGCATCACAACTCTAGACATGAAAAAGTATGATTTTCGAAAAGTTTATTACAGATAAAAAAAAAGAAAATATTAATGCTTATTCGACTAACCATTGGTAGCATTAAGCCTTTCGTTGTCTGAGAAGTGGATATATATATATATATATCAAATATTCACTACATAACATTTAATCACAGAAAACAATAAAAACATTTATAACTAATTTTTATGTCATAAAATAAAACTTTGTAGCTACAAGATTTCTAAAACCGTCATTTTGTCGGAAAATTTGATTGGAAGTTATATAATATGATTAAAAACATTAGCAGGAAAGGAAACACCCACACAGTACTAAACAATATCACTGAAACAGAAAGACAACAAGAGATATCAAGAAAACGGAACAAAAACACTAAACAATTTAATGACACCGAATGAAACAATAACCCAGAAAAGTCGATAATACCGAAAGGAGCAATACACAAGTTGAAGCAACAAAACAAAAATAATACAATACTTAAAACAAGACAATGGAATTGGCTGAAACGGTGAAATAAAAAGGAACAACGATGAGTATTAACGAATCATGGCCACTGATTACATGGATCAATATTACAGAACGAAAAACTGCACATACTGAAAGATTGTCAGAGAACGATGCTGTATTACAGATAGAAACAATAACACGAAACAAAGCAACGGCACAAACCTATGTATCATGTTATACTTCTCTCCAGTCTTAATGTAGTAGTAGTAGTACGTTATAGTTGCATGTTGAACATTTATATGCCTACCACGCGTTACTAAGTTGCTTGGAACATTGACAGAAGTGTTTAAAACAATGATGGAAGTAAAATGTTTTCTGACCTATGTTTTAGTATATTTAATTTTTCTTCTTCTTTTTTTATGAAAAATATGTATTTCAAGATGCATTCCATATTACTGCTATTTTTTTAATAGTTTCAATTAAAAAAAACTATCAAAAACTGTGTGCGAAATTCTACTTAAATGGTATAATATGTATTATAGTTCAAGCGTAAATAGCAGCTCACATAAGGTGCAACCGGAACTCACGGAAGGTGCAACCAGAAATTTACTCCGTCGTTGACTCTCCTCAAACAATTAGAAGGAATGTTCTGTGAAAACCTGCTAACGGTTAGGAATTATATGAATGTTCCTTAGCCTGAATAATGCAGTTTAATGTGATTAATGACAACTTTGAAATATCTAGTTCGGTTCTTGTGACGTGCTGTAATGAAAACCGTTCTAGGTTTTTGGATTTGTTCTCTGTTTGTAAAAAATATTTTTTATTTTATATATTACCTATTATTTTGAAACGAATAAAATGTCAGCTTCAAGAAATTAAGTCATTCATTAGGGTTCAGCGGATCACAAAAATATTTTGATAAAGGAATAAAGAAATAAAAGTGTTACGTCAACATCAGCAAAGTAGATTAAAAATTGAGACGAAATACATTAATTCTGTATTATCAAATTATGAATCAGATCTGAGCCACATTCTGGTCCATTCTAAATAATTATAACCATAATTGTAATATAAAACTCGGTAGAAATACCATACATTTTCAGTAAATATAAATATCCTTCCAACGGCCCTCTAAAGTGAAAACTAATGACTTTATATTATTTCTTTAACAGTAGCGATTAAAATATGTTTACTTTTATTATTTGAAAATTTTGTAGTATACTTTTATTATGAAAATTATTTTGTATTGCCATCTTAGTACACGAACTAATCTAAATCACATTACGACCGAAAATCTCACCAGCAGTGTGGATACAAAATTCACGATAACTGTTATACGTTTTTGTTCTATTACGTTACCATGTCCTGGTTATTCCAGTATATTAAATTAACCATGTTCACTGCTGAGATAATTTTTAGTTCTGATTTCTGTAGGCAGCTTTATTCGATCAGAAGTTAACAGTAAATAATAAGTAGAGAAAATAAAGATAATAAAAATTACAGTTATAGCATGTTTTTCTTTTCTTTTCAGGGGTAAGAAGATAAGTTTGTTCACTTTCATTTGGTATACCTCTCTGTAATAGTTCCAAAACAAAATACGTAATATTTGCTTACCTGACTGCAAACCGACTTCAAGTGATTAATACTTTTGTGTGACAAAATATTAACGATGTGTTTAACTGTACATTAAGTTAAGTTATTTTACGTTACATTTAACCAGTCTAGTTTCGTTCAATTTCAATTATTCTAAGTACGGCAATAAACCGCCAAAAATAGAAAGCACAAATACCTGCTTACCTGTGCTAATTATTTATACATTAGACTAGCGTATAGCCCGTCAAAAATGACGAGGCAAGTACAACCTCCCTAACCCAATAGTATACCCTAATCTCACATTTTATAGCTAACTGAAATATATAAATTCTGCGAAATCAAGCTTGACCAACTAAGAGGCGGAAAAGTGCAGTCGAGGTAGTCAAACGTCGGTAAATTCCTTTGTGAGCCAATCAAAATTAAGATTATTCATGTAATAAGTTCGTGGCGTATTCATGGAATAATTATTGGTAAAAATCAGTTAGATTAACAACTTCTAATATATAGAAAAGTTAGCGCGTTTTGGTAACGCTACGTTCCAACAATGGCTTTTATGTCATGTTGCTTAGCAACAAAAGTAAAACCAAATATTGGTGTTAGTCTATGTACTGTGTTACGTATTAGAATTTCAAATAATCTGAAACCGAGCTAAATTGTACTTTGGATTTAGTATTTAAATATATGCCGATATATCTTCAATTTATGATATTTGCCAACAATATTGATACAAACAGTTTTATATTTTAACACGAATATGTCTTAATATACACACAACAATACAATTTACAATAACAGTTATTACAAACAATGATTTATATACAAAAGTTTCACAAACTTACAAGCAATATAAAGTCTTCTTTTTAATCTGGAACTTCTTCGATATCTTATCGAGGGTTCACAATGAACGAGTTGATTACGAGTTGACGTAGGTATAATTCACTTAACATGGAGCTAGCTAGCTTTGTCCTTCGTTTTTCATCAACCACATACGCCGAGTTTTCCACGATGAATTTACATAATGTTTTCGCAAAAATACTAATGTCCAATGAGAATCCACTAAAGTTAAATTATTTGTAATGTTCGAACTTTGTAAAGTTTCCTGGTCAAATATCTGAAGTTTTCCGATTGATAATCGTTATAACAATCAGTTATAGCTTCCAAAGTTTATAGCACACTGACTATAGCAAACTAATATTAGATACCCTCTTTTGGCGCGTCGCGTTGGTTATATTTATAGGCGTGTGGAGGCTTTCTCGAAATTTCAGTTTTACGTAACAATACTGACGCTACGTTTAAATGTTTACGTACATACATTATTGTTGATTCATACTCTCGAGAATCTTCTACAACTTGGAGAATAGGCGGGAGTTTCGCAATACATATTTAACAGTATAAGCTATGTATGTTTCTAAATATAAATTTAATCTAAACAAACGTCGATATTAAAATAAATATATAATAACCAATGCGTTACAGCTAAAAGTATATAATGTAATGTACAGAACAACAAAACTGGAAAAAAAATTGTTGATTTCTTAATTTAGAGTCTCCTTGATTAAAAGATGTTTGTTTTTTATTAAAAACGTTGGTGAAAAACAGAAAATAGCTTAATTCAGAAACGATTTAAGTTGTAAATTGAATCGATATTTTTATTTTCATGATAAATTTTAAGCACTTCACTCTAGGCTAGGTGATCCCACACTATGACTTTACTTTAGGCATATTATACTAACATTCATTACACTTATAAGGTTTAACGGCAC